GCTACCAGCCCCGCCTCCTCCACTACCCCCCGCGTAAGGTCAGGATTCGCGCCGGCGCAATCCGGGCACTGGCCATTCCTAGGCAGCCCTGGGCATCATCAGACGGCGTCGGCGCGAATCCGAACGTGCCCTTTCCCTCCCCGCCCGCACACTCCCCTGGTAACGCCCCTCATCGCCAAGGGAAGAAAGAGCGATCGCGCGGGAGGATGAGCACGACGGGGCACTGAGGAGGAGGAGGGAGGGGGAAGAGGAAGGCAAGAGACAACAGGAGGAAGCGCATGGGGCAACGAAGGGGACTAAAGAACAATCGGGGGGGACGAGGAGAGGACGGAGAATGGAAGAGTGCGCGGGAGGGGAAAACGAGGAGGGGGGGAAATAGGGGCCAGGGCACGCTAGGTGCGCGCGCGTCATATCTGACGTCCGACCACTCCCTCCCATCCCTTACTATGGCGCAGATCTCCTCTCTATTCGCACAGTCGGATGCCGAGCAGGGCAATGATCGCGAGAGGGTGCGCGATGCATCGTAGAGCACGACATGGCATGGCGTAGAAGAGCACGGCAAAGCGAATAATGTCATAGCATGGCGTGGCATTGCGTAGTAAAACATTGTTGCACCACAAAGCATTGCAACTCAAAGTATGGCATCGCGCAGCGGCGCAGGACAGAACACCGCACATCATGTCATGGCAGGGCACCGGGTTCCGTGGAGTGTAAGTGGATAGTTCTCGAAACGTCGGGGCCGGTCTGGAGCCGCGGCTCCATGTTTAGCTCCCTGGGCTCCGCGAAAAGTTCCCTACAAGACGGAGCTGATGGAGAACACCTGCGGGCTCTGCTTGCAACATCGCCTTCTGAAAACAGATGCGGGGTTCCCGCTTGACAATTACTCTTAACACCGCCGCCCCGATTTGGCGGGGGGGCTTTCTGCGGCCCAATAACTCAACGAAACGGCACCAGATGCGTAATCACTTCAAGGTTTGTTTCCAGGGGGAACTGTTCTAGAGGTGCGGCCTATCTGGAAAGGCCGAAAGCGCCCGCGGTGCAGAACAACCAGAGGCGCAGAAATGGGGCCAGCGCTGCAGCGGGAGCAACATTTTGAAGGACCGACACAAATGATGTTCCAAGTTCACATGTGAAACCAGGAAATGAGGCCAGCGCTGCAGCGGGAGCACGATTCGGAACGAGCGGGAGCGCGGAAATGAAGCCAGCGCTGCAGCGGGACCACGATTCGGAACGAGCGGAAGGCCGAACATGAGGCCAGCGCTGCAGCGGTAGCAGCATTTTGATGGACGGCGAAAGGGGGAGAGACGAAGGAGGGAGGAGGGACGAAGGCGGGAAGGAGGAGGGAGGAGGGAGGGAAAAAGGGCGAAGGCGGGACGAGGAAGGGAGGGAGGAGGGAGGAGGGAAAAAGGAAGGAGGAGGGAGGGAGGAAAGAGGGAGGGAGGAGGGAGGGAGGGAGGATGGGGCGATTTTCACTCATGGGCAGAAGGTGTGCCGCTCTGAGGTCGGCGAACCCATGGGCCTTCAGCCTCTATAGCTGGAGGCGCAGGCCTTCTGGTGTCGCTGGAATGCCTGGTAATGCTCGATGTCATGAAACGGCTTCCCGTCGACGGGATGCAGAGCACCGAGCAGCCTCTTGCGGGCCATGTATCTGGAGCCACTATTTGGCGGCCCTTTGCATTCCTCCAGAAGGCCTCTGAAAAACAAAAGTGGTATGATAGCCGCACCTGGCACAGAAAACTAACAGGCCGTCATCACAGGTGCCATCAGACAGGGCGTGGGCGGAGTGCACCGTATTAAAGCGCTCTCGAAACTCGCCCGAAAAAGGAGTGCATGATTCATTACACCGTCGAGAGACGGCATCATCAGAGTGGCTGAATGTGAAACACGCAGCATATCTCCACGCCACGTACCCAGCTAGCTGCCAGCCATGTACGAGCTGGACCTGGGTCTTAAATTGATCAGGCTTACATGTTCTCTCAGTCCTAAGGTGCTTTGGCCAAGCCTCAAGCATCCTTGGAAGGAGCTTCAGAATGCTAGCGGCGTCCTCCTTCACTTCTTTGGGCGCAAGCACCGGCGACGGGTCGAAAGACGGGTGCATCTGGAAGGCCGACTTAGCAAACTGATCACATCTCGTGTTAATTTGACAGTGGAGCGTATCTTCAGGCCGAACTGTCTCTTCGTCCTGGTGTGCTTAGACTCCACGGCTCTCACATAGTGCCTGCTGCCGCTACCAAGGGCCGTCCTGAAGGATGGAGGGAAAAGGCAGGGGCAGGGGGGCAGGAGGCGGAAAGGGCAGGGAAAGGAGGCAGGAGGCAGGAGACAGGAGGCAGGAGGGAGGAGGCAGGAGGCAGGAGGCGGAAGGGGCAGGAGGCAGGAGGCAGGAGGGGCAGGAGGCAGGAGGCGGAAGGGGCGGGGAAAGGGCAGGGGCAGGAGGCAGGAGGCAGGAGGGAGGGAAAGGGCAGGGGCAGGGGGGCAGGAGGCAGGAGGCAGGAGGGAGGGAAAAGGCAGGGGCAGGGGGGCAAGGGAGAGAGGGGGGGAAGGACAGGAGCCGGGCCGCAAGGGTCCAAAGGAAGGGGCCCAGGGACACACACAAATAAACACGCACAGATCCCAGGATCCTCCCTATTTGTCAATACTCTTTTAAGTTTTCGTCATCCCCCCCCCACACTTCCCATATGTTTCCGCACATCTTCCTGGGCATCGACGATTCATTGTGTCTCTGTGCTTTTTTCCCCACCTGACTCAACCGTGCGTCCTTCGTCGCGGTCTCGGCTCACTTGGGAGCATCATACCCACTGCCGTCGAGGAACAAAAAAGAGGAGCCGGCTGGGGCAAAAATGCATCAGTGCACTGATCCTGGCACCCGAAGGAAGGGGGAAGGACACGGAGGAAGGTACAGATGGAGCAAGGGTGCGGAGGGCAGATGGCTGGGGAATGGTGCGGAAGCAGTACATATAGCTGGAGGCTGAGAAAGCTAAGAGCTGCAGGAGGAAGAGGGGAACTTGGGAGCGAAGGGGGGCTCATGCCAAGGCGGGAGGAGGGAAAAAGACAAGGGAAGACGGGGAGGAGGGATGAAAGAGGCGGTATGATGACGGTGGCTGAGGCAGGGAACCAGTCTGGACTCGACGGTTTTGGGGGGTACATTGTTCAACTGTCCGAAGGCGGTCTGAGGGGTTCAAGTGACGCGTGAAGGCCCACAGGACGTGCCAGGGGACGTATCCAAGGGCCCCTTTGGGGTCACTTGGAGCTGATGTAGGCTCGATGTTTGGGGCCTCTTGGGCCTTGTCTGCAAATTTGCCATCCCTGGGTTGCCTTGCGAGCCTCTTGAACTCATGAGGGGGCTTGCGGCCAGGCCCTGGGCTAGGTTGGGCCCTCTGGGGCCGTCTTGGGCTCCTGTGGGGGCGTTCCTGTTGCGTCCCGTTCAGGGGGGGGCTCTTGGAGCCCTTCTGGGCCTGTCTGGGCGCGATCGTGGGGGGTTGTGGAGCTATCTGGGACACTCTGGAGACCTCGCGCTCTTTTGTCAAGCCTCGGCTGCGCTCCGCTCCCGAAGCCGCGCGGTCTGGTACGCAGCCCACCGTGGGCGCGAGTAGTCGCTTCGCCCCGGGCCGAGAGAGAGAAAGAGAGAGAGAAACACGACGACCCTACATTCCCCCGAAAAAGCAACAGCAACTTGCAGAAGCACAGACATGGCGCGTGGGCGCGTCCGCTTCCAAGGACAGCGCCCCGCCACCCCGCAGACCATGGCCCACCCCGCGCTGCGCTCTTAAACCGACGGGGGAGCAGCCGAGCGACAGAGAGGCGCAATCTCTGGAAGACGCAACAAAAGGCGCACTCCAGGGCGCGCCCCGCCCCCAACCGACGCGCTCCATAGAAAAAGGGAAGCCGGGGATGGCGACGCAGCGACGGCAGCCCCGGCGACGCGCCCAGTGATCCTGAGAGGGCCCGAAGATGCCCCCCGCAGGAAACAAAGGGAACTGTATGGAAAGAGGGGGAGGCTGGAACGGCGCGGGGGATACAGAACTTGCCAGAGGGCTCACGGAGTCTGCGGGCCGCGGGAAGGCGGCGGACGCCGGCACGCAGAGGCCAGACGGACCACAGGAGACGGGACCCTCTGCACAGCGCCGTCGCAAACCAAACGGAGTCCAAAAATTCCAGGCTGAAATGCGACATGCGTGAAAGGTGCATTTCGTCTCTCTCTCTCTCTCTCTCTCGACAGAGAGAGAGAGAGAGAGAGCGGGCGAGGTGAGAACAAGCACTATCCCAGAGGAGCTTCTGCAGATGCTCAGTCCCCAGGAGACGCCAGGAGCGGAGAGAGAAGGCGAGGGATGGAGGGCGGCGAGGGACACAACGACCCATGGAAAGAAGGCTTGCAGCGGAGGCCGGCAGCCGCGCAAGAGCGGACTGGAACACAGTTTGTCACGCGTCGCGATCACGCCCGCTACTGGGGACGCCCCCCCCCGAACCCTACGCTGGGCACGTCACGGATCGAGCCGGCGCCGTCTGGGAATGGCCAGGGATAGCTCACTATCCAACGGCATCTGCGCAAATCGTGTCTTTACCGGACCCCTCGCCCCCCCCACCCTCCCAGCCCCGATAACGAGTGCTATGCAAGGGCTCCCAACTTCGCGCTTCGCGCTGCGCGAAGCGCGAATAACTTCGCGCTCTCGCGCCGCCCTCCCAAAGGGAGAATAGGAGGACGAGGAGGAGGGGGAGAAGGAACGAGGACCGCGACGCGCGAAGCGCGAATAACTTCGCGCCCTCATGGGAGCCCTTGACTATCCAACGGCGTCTGCGCAAATCGTGTCTTGACCGGACCCCTCGCCCCCCCCCACCCTCCCAGCCCCGACAAAACGAGTGCTGTGCGCCCTCCTCGGAGGTGTGCGTCCGACTCGAACATATAGCACAACCATCTGGATTATATATCTAAAGGGAAATTAGGACACACAAATAAATACACACAAATAAAAATAGTCCCCATATTTTCCCATATTTTCTGGGTTTTTGTCTTCCCCCCCAATTCCCATATTTTCCCATATTTTCCTGGGAATCGAGGATTAATTGTGTCTGTGTGCTTTTTTCCCTCCTGAATATCTGCCAGTCCCCTCCAGGGAAGCCAAGCTGCGAAGGCTCCCCCCACCATCCCCGCCCCGGGAACGGCTGGTCGCGTGAGAGGCTTGGTGATTTTTAGGCAGGCCCCTGGCGGAGCCAAGGCCAGCAAGAGCGGGCAGCGGATGAGAGAGGTCTGGGACGCACGGGGACACGCTAATGCTATGCGTCCGCCTCTGAGGTGTGCGTCCGACGCGCAAACATAGCACAACCGTTGATGTCATACATCGTTTCCCGAGCGGTACAGCCAGAGCGCCCGCCACGGGGCGTGTACTATTGGATTCCTCGGCGCGCCCGTCTCCCCCCGGGAAAAGGCTGCTATTGGATGAGAGGATGAAAAGAAACAGGCACGTGGCGGAGCCAGGGCCAGCAACAGCGAGCTAGCCAGCCTCGACCTTGTCCCTCCCCCAAGGATCGACAAGCCCAAAGGCGATGACAACCTCAAGGATGCGCCCTCAGAAACCGAATGATGGAATCCCTGACATCGGCATCGAGAGAAGGCGACACCAAAAGGATAGGGATATGTTTCAGTGTGGTGAATGAGCTAGGGAAACCAAACGCTACCGATACCGCTGCTCGCCGGAACTTTCACGAGGTGCTTTCTGACCAGAATTTCGCGGCGAATCCGGCGGTGGCGACGAGGGCCTCCTAGGAGGCCGAAACGGGCGAAGGGTCGCGGTGTCGGTACCTTGTCCTCCTCTCAGTAGAAGGGCGAGCAGCGGATGAGGGGTCCTCCTCTGAGTCGGAGCCATCCGAGCCGTCGGAGGAAGAGCTAATCTCCTCCGCCTTCCGTTTCCTGCGCGCGTGGCCACGGGGAGGAGATGTGGCAGCAGCGGGACCGGCAGCTGGCCAAACTCTCCAGGTTTTCACCGCCTTGCCTGCTTTCATACAGATGCCCTGATCCACATCCTCTGCCCACATGCGCGCCCCAAGCTTAAACGGGAAACGGCACGCACGCCAATGTCGGACCGAAAGATTGAAGACAGGCCAGGACCTGTGTGCATGGTCAGCGGGTGTTCCCCAACGCAGGTCTGGTTGGTGGAGGAAACCTTTGGGTGGTGGCAAGTGGCGCCGTCAGGCAGCAAGGTCCGAGCTGTGGAAATTGAATGGCGTGCCTGCGGCCGTTCTCCTTGGCAGGAAGCCCGTACACCACGCGAAATGGTTAAGAAATCATGGGTTAAGAAATTAATGGTCTCAGAACTTGAATAAAAACCCAAAAATTCGATCAAAATCTTAGGATTTACATTGAAACGTTAAGAATAATCGAGAGTCTGGCCGAAAACTTAGGTTTTCTTAAGCATCGCCTAAGGTGTACACTCAACCCGTGCCATAAAGACGCACGATAACGACGCAAGGGCCTTGGAACGCCATGCCGGCACTTTGCGGGCGGGGCGCGGCGAGCGAAAGCGGCCAAGGACGGGCCGAAGGGGGAGGATGCGAGAGCGCACACTTGGGAAAGCTGTCCATGCTTACTGCGCGGGCTGGCTGCAGGGACGGCCTCGGCCCCCCCCGGCGCCTATTGCCGCTGCCATGGCAGGTGAGGGTGGGGACCCACGAAGCCCCAGATGATGGAAGCTGCGCGGGGTGGGCGTCCTGACCACGCCTGAAAGAGCGGTGGTCCCTCGCCCCTTCGTCTCGCCCCCCCCGCCGGTGGACGAGTCTGCTATTGGGGTTCGCCCTCCCGCACCTCGCATTGGCTCCACGGGCTTGAGTTTGCGACGTTCTCCCTCCCCTCCTTCTGCCCCCCCCCGCCCAGTGGACGGGTCTGCTGCTGGGGTGCGCCCCCCCCCTTCGTATCTGTTCCACGGGCTTGAGCTTGCGGCGTTCCCTCGCCACTCCCTCCCGCCCCCGCCCCCCCGGCACCATCTAATCGCCAGCCGTGCGCCGTTTCATCTCGCCCGCCTCCTCCCACTCCCTCTCGCCCTCCCCCGTTCCTCTGACCACCACCCTCGGCCTTCCATTGCTAAAGGGGGCCCAGATAGGGTCGAAGCAACGTCAGTCTGTTGATACGAAAAAACACGGAGGGCGCGTGCATGAAAAGAATATCCCGGCAAAGCAACCTAACAGCAATGTGTAGGAGCATATCTGGGAGCATTCCCCTTACGATTCAGATGAGAATCCACTTGTAGAATTCTGCTGTTCTCGCAGTCGTAGTCGCATTCGCGATGACAGTCGCAGTGGCAACAGCAGTCACAGTCACAGCCTCAGCCTCAGCCTGCCTCAGCCTCAGCCTCAGCCTGCTTCAGCCTCAGCATCAGTCTGCCTTCAGCCTCGGCCTCAGCCTCAGCCTGCCTCTGCCTCAGCCTGCATCAGCCTCAGCCTCAGCCTCAGCCTGCCTCAGCATCAGCCAGCCTCAGCCTCAGCCTCAGCCTCAGCCTGCCTCAGCCTCAGCCCCAGCCTGCTTCAGCCTCAGCCTCAGTCTGCCTTCAGCCTCGGCCTCCGCCTCAGCCTGCCTCAGCCTCAGCCTGCATCAGCCTCAGCCTCAGCCTCAGCCTGCCTCAGCCTCAGCCTGCCTCAGCCTCAGCCTCAGCCTGCCTCAGCCTCAGCCTCAGCCTGCTTCAGCCTGAGCCTCAGTCTGCCTTCAGCCTCGGCCTCAGCCTCAGCCTGCCTCAGCCTCAGCCTGCATCAGCCTCAGCCTCAGCCTCAGCCTTCAGCCTCAGCCTCAGCCTGCCTCAGCCTCAGCCTCAGTCTGCCTTCAGCCTCGGCCTCAGCCTCAGCCTGCCTCAGCCTGCCTCAGCCTCAGCCTCAGCCTCAGCCTGCTTCAGCCTCAGCCTCAGTCTGCCGTCGGCCTCGGCCTCGGCCTCAGCCTGCCTCAGCCTCAGCCTGCATCAGCCTCAGCCTCAGCCTGCCGCAGCATCAGCCTGCCTCAGCCTCAGCCTCAGCCTGCCTCAGCCTCTCCCTCAGCCTGCTTCAGCCTCAGCCTCAGTCTGCCTTCAGCCTCGGCCTCGGCCTCAGCCTGCCTCAGCCTCAGCCTGCATCCAGCCTCGGCCTCAGCCTCAGCCTGCATCACATCAGCCTGCCTCAGCCTCAGCCTGCCTCAGCCCGCCTCAGCCTCAGCCTGCCTCTGCCTCAGCCTCAGCCTGCTTCAGCCTCAGCCTCAGTCTGCCTTCAGCCTCGGCCTCAGCCTCAGCCTGCCTCAGCCTCAGCCTGCCTCAGCCTCAGCATCAGCCTGCCTCAGCATTCAAAATGTGGCCCGGGAATGGAGTTCTGGGAACTCGAAGAACACGAAGTGGCCTACAGTTGGCTCCGGGCATTCAAAATCATGCCCAGGAATGGAGTTCTGGAAACTCGAAGACCACGAAGTCGCCTACTGTTGGCTCCGGGCACTCAAAATGTGGCCCGGGAATGGAATTCCGGGAAGTCGAATAACACGAAGTGGCCTACAGTTGGCTCCGAGCATCCAGAATGTGGCCTGGGAATGGAATTCTGGGAAGTCGTAGAGCACGAAATGGCCTACAGTTGGCTCCGGGCATTCAAAATGTGGCCCGGGAATGGAGTTCTGGGAGGTCGAAGAGCACGAAATGTGCGACTGTTTGCTTAAAACGAGCCTGGCCCTGAGCCCGGCCCTCGCTGTCCGGATGCCGCCCAGACCTCCCTTCTGAGTCATCAGATGCTCTCTTTTGACACCACTAGAAACCTATCAATCTTCGCTGTTAGGTAAATACCCCCCTGCTCGGGGCGAATCGCGGGGAGGGGGGGCGCCCGCCAAACGGAAACACACGGCAGCGGCGCGGCGATTACCGCCGACGCCCAGCCGCCAGCGAGAGGGCGACGGGCGAGACGCAAGCGGCGCCGCTTCAGCGGAGGGGGACAGCAGCGCCTCCGCTACAGCTGGGCGCTTGGGCGAAAATGGCAACAAGCAGCAGAGAAAGAGGAGGCGGGGGGGAAGGGGTGCCTCAGCTGCCCGGCGGTGCAACATGGCTGCAGTGCAAATATAAAAGGGAAGAGGTAGGATGAGCGGCAGAGATTTCCTCCTTCCTTCCTCCTTCCCTTCTCCACCCTTTCCCCACCCCTCCATTACAATAAATTGTACGACGACGCCGAGGACGACGACGAAAACGACGGCGACGTCGACGACGCACTTCGGATGCCCCAATGGGGGTCTGCTGCGCAGGCCTGCTGTAGTTGACGACGACGACGACAACGACGACGAATACGACAACGACGACGACGACGAACGACGGACGACGGCGGACGACGGACGACGACGGACGACGAAGGACGATGACGACGACAACGACGACGACAACGACGACGAACGACGACGGACGACGACGGACGACGACGCACGACGACGGACGACGACGACGACGACGACGAGGACGACGACGACGACGACGAGGACGACTGTGGCACGTCAATAATCAGCCTGGGAGGGGTAAACGCTTAGCCTCGCATGTCGACAACCCTGAAACAACATCTATACGAAAACAGTCGTTTTGAGGCTGCCGTGCAGGGGGGTACACGATCCCCTCGGCAGCGCCCGACGACCCCCTGGCGCGCGTGATAAAAGCAAAAAAAAATGTTGCGCCCCGCGGGGATTACTCATGAGCCATGGGGGGGGCATCATTTAAGAGTCACACGCTGACATTGGGGTCGGGAGATCGCGCCGCATCGTCGATGCATCACCGATGCATCGGCAACAGACCGGCGACGCTGGCAATGCATTGGCGACGTTGGCGTGGAGAAAATCGGGCTCCGCATCGAGCCGCATCGCCGATGCATCGGCTATGCGGCGCGATCCTCCGACCCCATCTACCTCCAAAGGCCAAGAATTGCCAACTCTCCCTCAAGGGCGCATGAAAAGGACGTATGCGCCCGGCTGCGTACACCGATATGGATGCACCACCGCCCGCGAGGCCGCCATCGTGCCACGAACGCTTATGCAGTGCGATCTCCCTTGGCACGGGTGTGAATTTTCGTACGCGTGCACCGATGCCTCCCAAAAAGAACAGCGGGATACGACGGGTCCAGGGGAACAAACAATGACATAAGATGGGCAAACTTTCCACCACCACTACCATATGTAGGTCGGGGGAACCCTCATCCTCCTCCTCCTCCTCCTCATCCTTCTCCACCTCCCCCTCCTCCTCATCATCTTCCTCCTCCTCTCCTGCATACGATCGCGGTGGTGCAAAATGGGCCCATCGACAAAAGCAACAAGGACTCGGAGGGCCGCGCCGATTTCCCGGAGCGGCGCTGCGGCACCCCCTCCCTGGCGCGGGGAGCGCGCAGAGGGGCGGCGCCAGAGGAGCCGCCAGGGGGCTCTCCAGCGCGGCTCCGAGAGCTCCGCGCGGGCCTTCGAGCCTGCACCTCTGTCAGCGCTTGCTCCCCGAGGGGCTCGCGCCGTGGCGGCCCGCGCACAGGCCTGAAGGGGCCCAAGGACACACAAACAAATACACACAAATAGAAGGATTCCCCCATATTTTCCTATATCTTCTGGGTTCTTGTCTTCCCCCCCACTTCCCATATTTTCCAATATTTTCCTGGGAGTCGACGATTGATTGTGTCTGTGTTTTTTCCCCTCCTGATGGCCTCTGACACCGCGTGGACGGTTCCGCCCGGAAGGATCGGCGGCCTCCCGGCGCCCGCGGCGGGGCCGCGGCGAGTCAACACGACGCGGACCTGCCACACGAGCGCACCGTGGCTGTTCCACAAGAGACGGCACACAGTGAGTCTGCTTACCCGTGGCATGGGCTTGACCCCAATAGCCGACCGATGCCCCTCGGTGGGATGCTGCTCTCTTCGGGACTTGCTGGACCTACCACCGGTCGGCGACCATGCTGAGGTTAGACAGAAAACTGCACAATCATAAACTTTTGGAGGTCCGTGGCCATTTCTTGGATCCGCGCTGGATCGGAGCGCGCCAGGGGCGGCGCCGGAGGCGCCGCCGGGGGGGCCCAATGCGGATCCCAGAAATCCGCCACAAGTGTATGTTTATGGCTTTTTGTTATTCTTCTCGGCGGCGCGCACAAAAGGGGGTGGAGGGAGGGGGGAGGGCTTTTTAGAAGGAAGCTGCTTCTTAGAAGGCGCCGGCCTTGCATCTATAGACAAGGCCCGCGCCCTCTAAGAAGCAGGGGCCCTTCTAAGAAACCCTCCCTCCTGCCCCCCCCCACCCCCCTCTGCGCGTGGCCGATCTTCGAGAGATGTTGGGTAGGCTGGGAAACCAAATGGTACCTCTACCGCTACTCCCCGGACCGCGGTGGCGACGAGGGCCGCCCAGGAGGCCCAAGAAGGGGAAAACGAGGTAAGGGTAGGGCTGTGGGTACCTTCTCCTCCTCCAAATGCTGGGCAGGCTGGGGCAGGGAGAGGCTTCCGAGGGCGAACGGGGCGCCGTTGCGGAAGAGCCCGACTTCTGCCCCAGCAAGCTGCCGAGCCTCCTTCCCTGCCTGCTGCCGTCTGCTGCTGCTGCCGCACCCCCCTGCCTTCGCCCCCCGAGCAGCCCTCCTCCCCCCGCCCTCCTGCCCAGTGAGACGACTTATAAACAGCTGTTCCTGACCATCCTGTGGGGTTGGGTCCTCGTTTGGAAGAGACAGCAGCGCCCCGCGTCCCTCCCCGCGTCCCTCCTACTCTCCTCCTTCCTCCTCTCCTCCTCCTCCCCTCCTATCTCCTCCTCCTCTCCTCCTCCTCCTCCTCCTCCTCCTCCTCCCTCCCTCCTCCCTCCTCCTCCTCCTCCTCCTCCCTCCTCCTCCCCCTCCTCCTCCCTCCTCCTCCTCCTCCTCCTCCCTCCTCCTCCCCCTCTCCTCCCCCTCCTCTCACCCTCCTCCTCCTCCTCTTCCTCCTCCTCCTCCTCCTCCTTTTGGACGCCCGAAATGGATACCGAAAGAATGGGTACAATGCCCAACAACAAATGTTGTCCCAAACCAACATTGGCCGCTGTTGGGCGGGCGGCCTCCTGTCTCGAATGGACACAAGCCGCGGCGGCGTGGACAGCGGATCTTGTTCAAAATGAACAAGATCCGCTGTTGGGCATAGTACCCATTCTTCCAGTACCCATTTCGGGCGTCCAGACTCCTCCTCCCCCGAGCATCCCTCCTCCCCCCTCCCTCCTGCCCGGGCAGACGACCTAAACGGTGTTTGTTTGTTTCGCTTTCGTTTCGTGTTTTCGTTTTCCCTCGTTGTGTTTTCAGTCCGCCGCCTGCTGCAAAAAGGACGTCGAGACGAATAAAAACGGCCCACGCGATCGCCAAGACACCATCTGAGTAGATGCCTGCACCTGCCCCCCCCTGCCTCCAAGGCTGGCACCTCCCTCGCCTCAGAATTGGGTCGGGCTCGAGGTGACTACCTTTATGTCGGAAGCCCCTCTACAGGAGGAGTAGTCAAAAGCAGTCCAGAAATAGTCTGGGGACGATGTTTCGGTGATTGCTTGCTATTTTTGCGTATGTTTGGCTATCGTTGATGTGTCGTCCAGAGCCCGCCTGGTGGAGGACATGCCCGACCGAAGACTGCCTACCAGACCACCCCAACCTAACCCGAAGACCCGAATCTCGGATTGTGGGGGGGGTACGGGTTCCACAATTGCGCTTTCGTCCCAACGTTCCCCGACGCCTTCGTGTTGGGCTGGGGTGGTTCGGTGGGCGGTGATCGGGGATGGACAAACCTCCCTTTAGTAAAACGTAGTTTAGTGAAAACGACTTCGGGCCCAAACCTGGCGGGCGCAAGCCTGGAAAATAACGGCCACGGCGCCCTCACGAAAACCGAAAACGGACAATTCACTAATCGACGTGTCACTGTTGGGGGTTCTGTCCACCCCCGAGGTGGCGAGGGGGCGCTGGTCTCGGGCACCCGAGGTCCTGCCCAGCTGCATCTGCACGGACTTCTGCAGCCTCATCTTCCTGGCGAGAAGAGAATCGAAGGCCGAAAATCCACCCCGATAATAACCACCCCGACACGCGAGGCCTTTAGTAAACGCGCCCAAGAAAGGAATCGATCAGGGCAGGGCTGTTTCGTATACGCCCAGGGCCGTTTAATAAACGCCAATTGTCCGGTCCGGGTGGTTTTTCCGCCCTTGAGAGAAGGGGGGAAGAGGGCCGAGGGCAGCGCACCGTCCCCTGCCCTCGCGCGGCTTCATCACATCCTCTGTCCTCCGGCGCAGGCCGAGCAGAACATCACTTGACAGTTGCCATCGCGCGCGGCTCGGGATATGCGCGAATTGCTTCCCTGTTGCCGAGCTGCCTCCAGCGCTGGTTCGCACAGATTCATAAGTCCACCATAAAACCGCGAGTCGTTACGAACAGTGTCATCAAAAAGACTATGAGAGCCTCAGTGATTATGTTCTCGAATGGTGGCTTGAAACAGAATGTGCGCTCGTAAGATCTGAACTCGAGAAGACTGGAACCAGAACAGGGAACCCTTTTGTGCACCAAAACACATGCTGCGTTGAATTCACCGCAAGAACAAACTATTGGTGCGGAGCGCTGGAGCAAACTCCGACCAAGCGAGCAAGTCACTGCCGAATACATGCCTTCGATCTGCCGGATGCCCGCGATGCATGCTGCGGATGCATTGCGCGCTGGTCTCGCCCGCGGTGCCTCGGACACTGGACACGAGACTCGAGAAGGAGATCGACTACAGAATTGATTTACCCCCGAAAATATCGGTTCTTCGAATCTACGGAACACGCGTATCATGTTCGAAGATTTACACGCATTATACGTGTGTTTTGAAGAATCGACCAGGAAATGCAGAATCGATTATGTAGTCGATCCCTCACTCGAAAGACATCGGACGCGGGCACACAGGACGACTGCGCAGGGAAGGGCTGATGGCCAGAAGCTTCTGTTAGGAGGCAACTACTGGGAAGTCTTCGTCGGAAGGATTAGAGAGAATTACGCTCCACTGGTGGGCTGTTACGAAGGCTTTGGCTACACATTAAACGGAATTAATCCGGAAACGGGATTTAGCCCGATTCAGCAGGATTACACACGATTTCTGACCAGGGCAGGATCAGAATTTGACCCCCCAACAACACATGAGCGACTATCACAAAGGTGTCTTACGCGAGACGGCATGGCGACCTTGCGCGATGGCTTGCGCGGGACGCCAGCGCGGCACGCCAGTGGATACGAGGGCACTTACTCGCGACCTTACCCGAGAAGCTCACGCGCCAATGTCGGCGCAGACGACCCCGTCTTTCTGCGTCGCACACACGTTCGGACAGTCTTCGTTCCCACCCTTTCCGTGCCCACTCCTCCCTTCACAGGACGAGTGCGAACTGGACCAGCCACTGGAGGATTGGAGGCTCCAGAGCCACACCCCTGCTGGCTCCGCCGCTCCCTCGCCGCCTCGTCGGTTGTCAGTGGGTGTCTCTTCATGATGTTTGATGCAACGGCAGCTGCCTCCAGCTGGACTTCACCCCTCCTGCAGAAACAAGCGTTCGGCAGAAACCGCCGGGAATCCCAGCCACTGACTCGAGGCGCCCCGATGCTGGACCTCTCGGTCATCTGTCAAGTCGGCGGACCGGGAGCAACTAGAATTCGCCGGCTCTTCGGAGCAAAGACATGCTAAAATCTACTGTGAAGAGGTTCAAAATAACAGCATGTGCTAGTTCTCACGCACGTGGCGGCGGCGCATGTAACATCCACCAGATTCGCGCTCCCCAAACCATAGTACATTACCCCCTCGAAGCAACAATCCTTCAAACAAATTCACAAGGTCCGCGATTCCAAAACCACAATCCCTCACAGATTTCTACGGGTTCGCGCCAACGGGGCCACAATCCCTCGTAAATGACGGCAGACTCGGGCTCCCGAAGCCACACTCTCTAATAACTTACACTGTACTCGCGCTCCCCGAGCCACAGAGGTCGAGCTCTTCAAGCCAAAAACACGTGCGACGTACGACTAGTCTGCGGCCTCAAAGCCCCGAGGCCACGAATCCACCCGACGGAGGCAGCTCAAATGTTGTTTGCATTGGAATGTGTGCTCGGGGGGCGCTCTTCGTCCCCTCCGTCGTTTTCTCTAAGTATTCGGCTCAGGGCTCGGGGCCACGATTCTTCGCAAATGCAGTGGAGGCCAGTCTACAAGAAACATTCTGCGAGAAACTCCACCCTGAGACCCCGAGGACGTCCATGGACTTCTGGTGTGGGAACGTCGCCCTTTCCACCGCAAAACCATCGAAACCCAAGAAACCCAGGGCACCCTGGAGGCAAGCAAGGTGCTGCTTGACATGGGCCTCCACCGTAGCGGAATCCGAGCTCGGGGGGCGCCTTCCCGTCGTTTTCTCCAAGCGGACCGCTCGGGGCTCCGGACCACGAAGCTGCGCAAATAGCTGGAGGGGCGCGCGCGAAACCCAAAACCCTCGTAGGTTACAGCGGCAGCGCGCGCCCGAGGCCGCCTTCCCATGTTGAGTATCCTTGACACGCGCACAAGAGGAGGAGGAGGAGGAGGAGGAGGAGGAGGAGGAGGAGGAGGAGGAGGAGGAGGAGGAGGAGAGGAGGAGGAGGAGGAGGAGGAGGAGGAGAGGAGGGGGAGGAGGAGGAGGAGGAGGAGGAGGAGGGGGAGGAGGAGGAGGAGGAGGAGGAGGAGGAGGAGGAGGAGGAGGAGGAGGAGGAGGAGGAGGAGGAGGAGGAGGGAGGAGGAGGAGGGGAGGAGGAGGAGGAGGAGGAGGAGGGGGGAGGAGGAGGGGGAGGAGGAGGAGGAGGAGGAGGAGGAGGAGGAGGAGGAGGAGGAGGAGGAGGGAGGAGGAGGAGGAGGGAGGAGGAGGAGGACAAGAAGGAGGAGGAGGAGGAGGAGGAGGAGGAGGAGGAGGAGGAGGAGGAGGAGGGGGATGAGGAGAAGGAGGAGGAGGAGGAGGAGCCAGATTGCCGCGCAGCAATCCAAACCAAATGCAGATTTAAACATTCGACAGCAACAAGCCAACAGCCGAGCTGCCAGCCGGCCAGCTGACAAGGAAGCCAAGCAACCTACCAACCAGGCGTGGCCACGCAGGCAACCTGAAGGGGGGCGGCCGGCGGCAGAGAGGGGGGAACCACTCACAGAATGAGGAGGAGGCGACGACGGGTGGCTGCAACCCGGTGCGCAGCAAGCACTTCACACGGAGCACAATGTGCTGTAGAGGCTGGGGTCTCGCAGTTGCTGCAGACACTGCGGCGCTCTCCACGGCCCTCTCCTCGCGAGGCCGGGTCGACGCCTGGGGCCCGACACCCTGCGGGGGCGCTCTCGCCGCTCGGACCTGCCTGGCAGGAGGAGCCCAGGCTTCTAGGCCTCCTAGATGGGGTCGGGGTAGATGTGGTCGGAGGATCGCGCCGCATCGGCGATGCATCGGCGATGCATCGGCGATGCGGCTCGATGTGGGGCCCGTTTTTCTCCACGCGGACGTCGCGGATGCATCGCTGACGCCCCCAGTGCATGGCCGATGCATCGCCGATGCATCGCCGATGTATCGGCGATGCGGCGAGATCCTCCGACCCCATCTACTCTGACCCCATCCAGGAGGCATCTAATGCTGCGGGGCAGTCCTCAGCTCCTTGAACTCGCTGGAGCCGATCACCCGCTCGGACATCATCTGCTTCGCGGCCTCCTCGGCCTCTCGCCGCGCGCCGCCCAGCGCCGGGGAGGGGAGCGGGCGCTGCATGGCTCTGGCAGGCCCCACGGAGATCGCCGGGGGCGGGCTCAGGAGGAGGAGGAGGAGGAGGAGGAGGAGGAGGAGGAGGAGGAGGAGGGGAAGGAGGAGGAGGAGGAGGAGGAGGAGGAAGAGGAAGAGAAGGAGGGGACGGGGAGTGGGGCAGGAGGGAGTTGGGTGGGCGACCAGCTGCGAGCTTCCAGTCAAACCGCATGGTAAAGACGCTCGAAGGCCATGTCGACACTGTGCGAGCGGGGCGCGGCCAGCGAAAGCGGCCGAGGATTGGCCGAAGGGGAAGGATGCAAGGGTACCCTTGGAAAGTAGATCATGCTTCCTATGCGCGTTGACTGTTACCAGCCTCGAGCTCATCCCTATCTCCAGGAGTTTCTAGACCAAATGCGATGACAATCTCAGGGATGCGCACTTTGAAACTGAGGGGATGCACAAAAGGTCGGCATCGATATGAGACGATACCAAGCATAGTGGTGACTGGCAAGAGGGGAGCAAGAGCGGGGGCGGCGGAGTAGCGACCTCGCGGCGGCCTCTCCTCCGTCGCACCCGGACACTTGAAGGCATCCCATGCGCGCGACGGCGTCCAAGCAACAGCCAGCCAGCGCCCAGGGAACTGTGACGAAGCTTCACGACGCCCACAAGGCCTCGATGTGTCTGATGGTCGGCGGAATGACGTAAGCCTCTTGAATATGCTTCAGGCTGGCCAGAGGGAGGCAAGAGGGGGTGGTGGGAGGACCAAAAGGTTCCAATATCGCTACTCCCCAGACCTGTCATGGGGCGCGTTCCGACGGCAACATGGGCCTCCAGGAGGCCCGGAAAGGCGAAGACGGAGCAAGGGTATAGCGGTATAGGGGACGTTTTCCTGTACTGTTGGCGGCTGGCACAGTGGGGCAGGGCGAGGAGGGAGAGCTCCCTGGAAGGAGGCCACCTCTGAGACGGCGCCGGCCCTGCACCTACAGACGAGGCCCGCCGCCTCTAAGAAGCAGGGGCGCATCTAAGAGGCCTTCCCCCCTCCACAATTACACAATATGAATACTACTCTCCCACTTCCCCTGATGGCGTCCGGAAGATGTTCGGCACCCCCCCGAGTACTGTTTTTTTACACACAGGATTCCCCGGAGTTGGGTTTTCGCTTGTGTTTTTTTCTAAAATGCTGCTCTCGCTGAGGCGCTGGCCTAATTTTCGGGCTCCCGCTCCTTCCGAATCGTGTTCCCGCTGCAGCGCTGGCCTCATTTCCGCGCTCCCGCTCGTTCCGAATCGTGCTCCCGCTGCAGCGCTGGCCCAATTTCTGCGCCTCTCGTTGTTCCAAAACGTGCTCCCGCTGCAGCGCCGACGTTTTCGATCCTTTTTAAGAAGCCCCAAATCTAGAAAATGATCCCCGGCAAAAACATTGGAGGTGATTACACATCCGGTGTCGATTCGTTGATTTTTGGGGCCGCAGAAAGCCCCCCCCCCCCCTTTTGGGCGGCGTCCTTTTCCGCACAGGATTCCCGGGAGTTTGGTTTTCATCTATGTTTTTGAAAATCCGAGTCTTTCCGGTCCTTCAGAATGTTGCTCCCGCTGCAGCGTTAGTCCTATTTTCCGCGCCGCTGGTCGTTCCAAATCGTGCTGCCGCTGCAGTGCAACGGTCCCCGGCCCCATGCTATGATATGCTCCGCTCCAGTGGCGTTCTTCGGCTCTTCAACAATGGTGCTCCCGCTGCAGCGTTGGTCCCATGTCTGCGCCTCTGCTCATTCCAAATCGTGCTGCCGTATTGTTTTCTTGGCACTACGGCACTCTTCGGCTCTTCAACATGTCGCTCCCGCTGCAGCGTCGGTCCCATTTCTGCGCCTCTGGTCGTTCCAGATCGTGCTGCCGCTGCAGCGCATGCGTCCCGCGTCCCATGCTATGACATACTACGCTCAGCATTGCTCTTCTGCGCCATGCTATGACATGCTACGCTCTGCAGTGCTATGGAATGCTACGCTCTGGGCTCCATCGCTGGTGCTTTCAATTGTGCTCTCGCCTTAGCGCCTTTCCCCTTTGCGGCCTATCTTACACATAATCCGCTTCCGACCCCCCTGATCCTTTTCCACCTCTTCCTTGTTCCTCCTGATCCCCCCCAACCTCCTGATCCTTTTCGTTTTCTTCGTCTTCGTCGTCTTCGTTTTCATCGCGCCGTCGTCCTCCTCCTTTCCCTCTTAGGTAACAGGGTCAGATGCGAAGCCCGATTCGGTGAGAGGACAATGAAGTAGCTCAATGGGAAGGGATGGGAGGGAGGGGTAGGATGTCAGATGTTGACGCGAGCGCACCTAGCTTGCCCCCTCCCCCTCCTCCTCCTCCTCCTCCTCCTCCTCCTCCTCCTGAGCCCAGAATCGAATCGATAAATCGGATCGGAGGTCGAAATGAATCGGATCGGCGGAAGTCGGCAGCCAGGGCGGGAAAGTTCGAATCATTCGGAGGCATCGGCAGGTCAGAATGCCTCTCCAGCGAAAAGTTGGAGCCCAGACCGGAATCCCACGTCGAATCGAATCGGAATCGGAAGCCATCGAAATCGAACCGAATCGCATCGGGGGAACCAAAATGAGCCCTGTACCCCCCTCTGCGCGTGGCCCATGACGGGCCTGGGGGCAGCGTGCCGGGTGCGGGCCAGGAAGCTAAAACAGGGCTAGGATCGGGATAAATCGCTCCAGAGCGTTCCGAAGCGCTCTCAGAGCGTTCCGGAACGCTCTGGAGCGGCCGCGGCGCCCAATACATCCTCCAAACCCGCCGATTCTCAGAGATTTGAGTTATCCCGATCCGATTTTGTCCCGATCTTCGCGTCGTTTGAGAAGCGGCGGGCTGCGAGGGCGGAGGGCGGCGGCCAGCCAGAAGGGGCGGGGCCGGCTCTCCCCGCCGCCCAGTCCGGACCTGCCCATGTCCTCCTCCCTCGCGCTGCCTTCTCGGGGGCGACGACGACGACGACGGCGGCGGCGACGACGACGACACAAAGACGACGACGACGGCGACGACGACGGCGACGGCGACGACGACGAAAACGGCGACGACGGCGGCGGCGGCGGCGGCGAGGACGACGGACCATGACGACAACGACGACGACGACGACGACGACGACGACGGACGACGACGACGACGACGACGACGACAACGACGACGACGACGACGACGACGACGACGACGACGACGACGACGGCGACGACGACGACTATCTTCGCGCTTTCGCGCCGCCCTTGCCCCCCTGGAGAAGGATGATGAACTCGCGCCTCGCTCTGAGATCGCCCCGACCGCGACGCGCGAAGCGCGCCCGACTTCGAACCCTCGTGGTGGCCCGAGCCTTCTGCCCGAGCCTCTCCCCCCCGATGCTGTCCAATGCGAGGGGCCCCCTCTCTCGTGCATCGGTTTTCACAACACGGGGGCTCAAACAGTGATGTGTGAGGTGGCTGCTGTTCGAGCGGACCGTCTTCGGCGAATGTCCTGTGCTTCCCGCTCGGGACGTCTGCGGCCGTTCGTCTTCGGTGGTCCCGAACAGACGCTCTCACCACTGCACCTTCTTCCTCCTCCTCCTCCTCCTCCTCCTCCTCCCTCCCCCTCCCCCTCCCCGTTCGTACAGACCCTGGCTATTCCCTGGTTTTCGATGGGGGACTTCAACTTGACATTGAGCTGATGCAGCCCTGCGGGTTCCTGAAGATGACGCATGCTTGTGCCATTCCTCCTGAGGACGTTTCTTTCACATGCTCGCAGGGTCAAGGCACGCCTATTGATGGTGTAGTTGCTTCGGAGACCCTCGCGCCGTTCCTGCGCGTCTCGCGGTACTCCGACTCACCATTCAAGACCCACGCGTGCCTGGAAGTGATTTTACCGCATGAGGCGCTGCTCCAAGAGATGACCAAGCGACGTAAATATCGGGCGTTTCCTGATGCCTTGGGACCGTAGATTCCGTGGATTCGGCATGTTGAAATGGTGTCTCGGGAGTGGGTTCCACCGGACAGGACTCCTGAGGTGAAAATGGTTTCCCATTTTCAGGATCATCGCTCAGAGGCTTTAACTAAGACGTGCTTGCTGTGGTCTCGTGCGTCGGAGAGCCTTGCTTTGGGAAGTAGTGTGGAACATGAACATGGTGCGGTACAGTATACGGGGCGAAGGGATTACATGAGCATGAGGGTCACTACGTTGGGTGGTAACAATGGATGTAAGGCATAAGATGATCCCATGTTGTGCTTCTGGTCTCATCTCTCTCAGAAGCTGTACGAACTTCGTGTTGCTCTCACGCACAACCACGGTACGATGGCTCGCGACCTTGCTCGGCGAGTCTCATTTTAGGACAGAGTGTAGAGAAGTATTCGTCTTGCCTCCCTGCCTCGCAGAACCCCCAGGCGTGGCGGGCTCAGCTGTCCCAGATGGAGTCCAAAGTTCGGCGCTCAGCCCTGATCTTTGCGATTTTCTGGTCTTCGAGTGCTCGGCTGCGCTCGGTCAGGCCTGGTCTGCTGATCGTTCTGAGTCCGCTAAGGCGATTACAGACTGGCTGATTAAATCGCTTCCACGAGGAGCAAAGAAAGCTCACCAATGGCTTCGAAAGGAGGAAGGGGGCCCGCTGGAGTTTGTTCGGGCCCCTAGTGGGTTCCTCCAGCTTCCTGGTGAGATGATGGCCTATCGTGCCCAGCTTTGTGGAGGGTGTTGGACCTCGGGACCTGATCAAAACAAGGAGCTAAGGGCTGCCATGAAAGAGCTTCGACGGCGTGCTACGGAAGTTCAGCCCGAGCTCCCCGACGTCGAATGTAGAGATGTCTTTGCTGCCAGCAGGCTTTTCTCTGAAGATATGGCCGTGGGGGTTGACCACTGGCTGCCGCGGGACCTGATGGGGGCCCAGCCTGATGCCCTCGAAGCTCTTGCCCAGCTTTACAGGTCTTGCGAGGAGGCCCTGATGTGGCCCGAGCAGATGTTGCTCTGTGTTATTGCCCTACTCCCTAAAAGGAAAACCGATGAACGGCCTGTTTGTAACTGCCCTACCCTGTATCGGGTGTACACCAAAATCCGCGGGGCCTTCCTGGATGCTTGGTGTAGAGATCACGTGGCGTTTTGGGACACCGCGAGTAGGGGGAGCTCGGCATTGCAGGCTGCTTTGCGGCGCGAGGTGTCCCATGAACTGGCGGCCTTTAAAGGCCACGTTTCCGCCGGCGTCCACTGGGACTTGCGCAAGTTTTTCGTCCTGCTGATCGGGCTCGGGTGCAACCTGCAGGTCCCCCCCCACCTCATGTATATGGGTTCACTGATTCATGTTTCTCCCAGGGTGTTGGAGACTGGAGGGTTATGTTCCCAGGTGATCGAGTCAGGAGTGGGAGTTCTTCCAGGATGTTCCCAGAGTATGCCATGGACTAAAGCATAGTTATATCAGAAGCTGGCTGATGTTCACAATCAGTACGTCCCCTCGGTCATCACTCAGGGTCATGCTGACGACCTCTCTCAGACCTCCCAGGGCAGCGCCGATGAAGTTGTCAACGCTAGTGTCCCAGCAGCCCTGCACCTTGCTCATGGCGTTGATTGTCTGCGGCTGACACCGTCGGACAAGTCGGCGATTCTCAGCAGTAGGCGTGCATTCAGTCTTCGCATTCCCACCAACTTCAGGCTGTTGGCGTTCGCTTGCGTGTGCAAAATACTGTTCGTGACCTTGGAGTTGCTACCTCTGCTGGCAAACGGAGGTCTACCATGATTCTGAAGATGAGGAGTGCCAAGGCCAGTCGTAGAGCTAAGAAGGTGCAATATTTGACGGGGATGTGTAAAGGGGCCTCGAAACGTTATAAGCCTGGAGTGCTGTCTGTTTCGTCTTGGGGCCATTCCGTCCTGGGACTGCCTCCGCATCAACTTCGTTCGGCCCGAGCGCAGGCCGCCAAATGTTCGGGGTGGTGGAGTCCTGGGTCCTGTACTACTGCGTTGCTGTCTGTGGTTAAGGCCGAGTCCTCGGATCACGCATATAGGCTTCGTCGAGAACAGCTTCTTGGGTTCCAGCAGTTGTGGCTTGATATGGGGCCCAAGGCTAGATGCGCACCGCTCGGTTATGGCAAACTCATGCTGATGAATGTGCTTGTCGTGCGCCAAGGCGTGTTTGGTGCCGTGTCCGTGGGCCTGTTGCTGCTACCGTCGCGGTCTTGATTGACCTCAGCTGGCAGCCGTTGTCCCCGAACAAATGGATTGTGCCTGACGGCTCCGCCTTGCACGTTGATTCCCCTGACTTTCATATTCAGTTGTGGAGGGAGCTGAGGAGTACTATCCATGATGAAGAGTGGGGAACGGCTGCGCAACATTACCTCGGGGGTGGAATTCAGGATGGCGTGGATTTCACGGGTGTGCATTCCCTCGTATCTAACGTGGGGGAGGATTTGGACTATGAGGGGCAAAGTAATTTGAGAAATGCTCGGGTGGGAAACTTCTGGACCGAATCCCGTTTACATGAAAGTGGAAATGACACGGAATCCCAGGGAATGTGTCGGCGTTGTGGTCTGGAACTTGAAACCCCTCTTCACCGTTTCTGGCAGTGCCCGTGCAATGCTGATATTCCCTCTGCAGCTGTTCTTCGTACCCAGCCTCTCTGTGCTCGAGCACTTGAAGAGGCTGCTGCCTGTCCTGCCCTGTGGTGCCGCGGGCTCATGCCTAAATCTGGGTCGACTGGTCACTTGCCCCCGCCCGCCGATCACGTCTGGTCCTGGGGATCTCTTGGTGATGGTCGTGCCGCGGGAGGTGTGTTCGGGATCGACGGGTCGGGGGGACATCACACTAAGGATTGGAGACTAAGGCGGTGCGGATGGGCGTGTGCCCGCTTGGGCCCCTGCCTCACCGACGTGGATGGCTTCCTCGTTGGTAGACTTCCTGGAGAGATTCAGAGCCCTCAGAGGGCCGAGTTGCTGGCGTTGTCTGTGCTGCTTCGTCATACTGAGGGGAGAGTGCTCATGTTCTCTGAGTACCTTCCTGTCGTGCAGGGTGTTCGTAAAGCACCGATATGATTGCAGATATCGGATATGTTGGACCTCTGGGTGGAGCTTTGGAGTATCCTGGAGGAGAGGGAGGGGAGGTTGAGCTTAGGTGGACTAAGTCGCACCCGACAGGGCGAGAAGTGGCGGCACTCGGTTTGACAAGGATTGAACGACTCTTGAACACAGTGGCCGACGGTCTTGCGAACGAGGCGGCAGCCCGCGGCAGCATCCTAGTCTCCCTCATCGAACGCACCCACCGAGAGGACCAGCTCCATCGTGACAGTTTAAGCAGGTTGATTGCCATCCAGCGTGAAGTGGTCATGACTTGTGCAGGTGAACGCACGCGTGTTGGGCATGATCGCGTGCGTGCTCGTGGGCCTGGGACCAGCATGTGCACGCGCGTGGAGCGGGTGCGCGAGCAGCAGCAGTCCCGTGGTCTTCAGGACTTTAATCAAGTGTAGTATTTGTGCTGTGGAGTTTTCTCTGAAAGACCCCCGTTCATGTTTCAGGCCAGGGCCGTGCCTCGGGTCCAAGCATGTGCACTTGGCCGAGCCTGCAGGTGATGGGAGGGTACAGCTGGGGGAGGGGACGGAGGAGACCCCCTCTTCCCACCGTCTCGCCTCCCTCTCCCATCCCTCGCACGTCCTCCGTTTATTAAATGGTGTGCTGTTATGTAAAGAATGTGGGGCCTTCGGAGTAGTGAGTGCACGGAACTCGAAAGGGGAATGTCCTCCCACGGGCCCCACTGATAAAGGGAGAGAGGCCCTTGGGAGGCTCAGTCGTGGGCTTCCCCCCAAAGTCGGGAATGACTTTCCCACTTGACTGACGACTGCTGCGTGCGGCCAGGCTTGCACCTGGGGTTCGCCAATTCTGCTTCATGCTTCATGCTCCTCCTCCTCCTCCTCCGCCTCCTCCTCCGCCTCCGCCTCCGCCTCCTCCTCCTCCGCATTATCCTCCGCCTCCGCCTCCGCCTCCTCCTCCTCCTCCGCCTCCGCTTCCGCCTCCGCCTCCGCCCCCGCCTCCTCCTCTTCCTCCTCCTCCTCCTCCTCCTCCTGCTCCTCCTCTTCCTCCTCCTCCCCCCTCCTCATCCTCCTCCTCCCCCTCTCTCTTCCTCTCTCTCTCGCTCTCTCTCTCTCTCTATCTCTCTCTCTCTCTCGCATCCTCTTGTGTTCCTCTCTCTCACTCTCTCCCTCTTCGTCGTCCTCATCCTACTCGCCTAGTCCTTCCTGTTACTCGACCACCGCGCCCTCCTCCTCCTCCTCATTATTATCGTCCTGGTCCTGGCCCCAGCTCTGCTCCTACGCGCTCCAAGCACAGTGAGTGAGGGAGCCTGCTGAGTGTCCTTCGCCTTGGCGCCGCGAGCGTCGTCCGATGACCTGCAGCCACGCGAGAAAGCAGAGGGAGAAAGCATTGAGCAGGGACAGACCGTCCCAGCATTTCTTTAGGCGTACAACGACATGTTCCGAGAACCCAACCATGTTCTGAAAACGAAAGCAACATTACTATACCATAGAGCCCGATGTGTTAAAGCACGATAGACCCAGCCAGACATGTTCTAACACATTATTGAGCATATCACATAAGGTTCTTAGAACATGTCATGGTGGACCTATAAGCAAGCCAGGACGCTTCGCCAGTGCTCGAGAAAACGGGTTGGCATTGAGAGCCCTCACCGCTGCACAGTCTGATTCCCAGCTACTCCCACCGCTCGAAGCAGAGTGCATCCGCAGTCTCGCCGCACTCTGTGCGACGATGCGCTGCCAAGCCGCCAGGCCATTCACCTCGACCGGCGTCATTGGCCAATGGCGACCTCGACGCCCTAAGCGGCCGATACTGCCGCGGCTGAACAAAGGCTGCTGGCCTTAGGTCGGCCATGTCCCCCCACAGGCGGATTTTGGACGAAAACTGCAAAATAGTCCAAAAGTACTCCAAAATGGTCAAAGGCTATTTTCGATTATTTCGAAGGATTCTTCCTGAAGAGGGACAGGCCCGACTTAATGCTGGCTGTGGGCAGCTCCGCTTGCAGCTTCGACACACCTTGCCGGCGGCTGCGGGGTCTGCGCTGGCAAGGGGCCACGAGACCGCCATCTGCTGGGAGGGGGGGCCTGGGGTTAATGGGACCTGGTTTCATGATGTGTACTGGGGGACGCCCCCCCACCCTGTGCCACCAACCAGAACTGCCGTCCCCCGAAAAAAACAAGAGCTGAGGCAGACCTGGTTCAGTGATTCTGGCCAATTTAGGGGCTCCAGGGCCCTACTATTAACTGGATCCCCTCACCTCTGGTCCTGGCAATACCCGAAGATGCTGCTGGCTTTAAATCGGGCGTATCCCCCTACAGGAGGATGCTGGATGATAACTACAAAAAGCACTCAACACAATACCCAAAACATGTTCAAAAATAGTCGAAAAAACGTCCCCAGACTATTTTTGAACTATTTTTGAACAATCCGCCTCTAGAGGGACAGCCGAGCCGACTGAATGCTGGCTGTGGGCAGCGCTCCACTCGCGGCTTCGACGCACCTTGCAGGCGGCTGGGGCGTCTGCACTGGCTGGGACCACTGGCCGCCCTCTGCCGGGAGGAAGGGGGGAGGACGCCGGAGCCGCTCCCAAGAGGTGGGTCAGTCGGGTGCAGCCCTTCGCCCCGGATCGGAGGCCTGGAAATTGGCACCAACACCAAGACAGGGGGCTGCCTCCACAGGGGGAAGGTGATCCTAGATTTTCGGCGTTGGTGGTAATAGTTCGGCCACCTTGGAAGCCAGAATATTACCACCATCGCCGAGATCGGGATCTTCTTCCTTGGGCGCCCGAGTTATCCGGGATAACTCGGGTCCGGGGTAACTCGGGTTTGGATTCCCGAAAAAAGGAACCCGAGTTAGCCCTGACCCGAGTTACCCCTGATGATTCGGGGCTCTGGACGCCCGAGTTATCCGGGGTAACTCGGGTCCGGGGTAACTCGGGTTTGGATTCCAGAAACAACGAGCCCGAGTTATCCCTGACCCGAGTTACCCCTGATGATTCGGGGCTCTGACTTCCCTCGGTGGAGGCAACCCGCCGAAATTGGTGCTGGTGTCAATCTCTAGGCCTGCGACCGGATCCGTCTCCGACGGCCTCGGGGCCCGACCGCGGCCCTCCGAGGCGGACGGCAAGAAGCCTCCTCGAGCCGAGGACCTCGGGCCTCTCGCCCCCTCTTCGGCCGGCCGGAGCCGGTGCTGGGCCACTGACCACCTACCAGACCACCCCAACCCAACCCGAAGACCCGAATTTCGGGTTGGGGGGGGGGTATGGGCTCCATATGTGTTTTTTCGATGTTCCCGGACCCCCCCCCCACTGGAAATGGAGGGCAAAATGAGGCCTTCGGGTTGGGTTGGGGTGGTTTGGGGTCAATCCAGACCCGGGTCAGCAGGAAACCAAAAACTGCAATGCAGGAAAAAAACAAACTGCAACGCAGGTCCTCGCAACCCCGGGTCAGCCAATACGCGCGGCCGCTTCGCAGCCACGAGCGGCTCGCTGACCCGGGTCAGCCAGAGGGGGTCGTCGCAGGATCCTGCAGGATCTGGCGCCCTGGCTGACCCCCGTTGGCATTGACCCCCGTCTCGATGCTCCCGAGGGCCACAGCAGGCCCCATGGCCGGCTCCAAGGAAAAGTGCCCGTGCCCCGGAAAAGACGAAGCTTGAGGGAGAGCGTTGCTTACTGTTCGGCGATCGCCCCAGGTCACCTGGTGAGGGGAGAGGGGGGTGACGGCAGATACCTCCGCGCGCACCAGTACTGCGCACGTACCCCTTCGAACGTGCGAAACCGAGAAGGGTATGGTATCTGTGGGGGAAGGGGTGGCGGGCGGGCCCGATAACCCGGGTTGTCGTCGGAGCCCGAAGCGAAAACAGTTTCAAGTGACACGCATTTAAGGGGCCAGTAACCCGTCGGGAGATGATCTAAGTCACGAGGCCCAACACATTAGGGATGGGGTTCTTTTCAACAAATGTATCAAGCCAAACCACCCGGGTTGATTATCACCTGGCGTGCTCAGCCTCTTCCTGGATCCTGCTTTCGGCAACCTCTAATCCGAATGTGATTCTCAATCGCCTCAACGTAGGATACTTCCAACTGTCGCAGTCGGAGCTCATCCGCCACCGTGCTTCTGGGCACGGAGTGGGCGTGTCCTCAGCTCATTTGCCTAAGCCTCGAGTTATGTTGCTGCCATCGTGCTTAACGACCACATCCCAGAAATAATTTCGAGCGCCCAGGAAAGTATCGAAACAGCGTCGAGCGAGTATCGCCTCCCAGGGCCCAGCGCGTAAAAACCCTCCAGTTTCGGTGCTTCTTGGTGCTCGAAATTCTGTCGGATAGTAATGGCTGAAGTCGGCTGGAACGTCATGAGCCTCGAGGCCTCAGTCCTCACTCCCGAAGTCTCCCACAGGGCTGAACCTAAACGGTGTTCCTCGTTTTCGTGATGTGTTCGTTTTCCCTCGTCTTGTGTTCAATCCACAAGGCATGAACGATTCTTGCCCCGGTGCCGGTGCCGGTGCCGGTGCCAGTGCCGGTGCATGCCAGTGCCGGTGCCGGTGCCGGTGCCGGTGCTGGTGCTGGTGCCGGTGCCGGTGCCGGTGCTGGTGCCGGTGCTGGTGCGGGTGCGGGTGCGGGTGCGGGTGCGGGTGCCGGTGCCGGTGCCGGTGCCGGTGCCGGTGCCGGTGCCGGTGCCAGTGCCGGTGCCGGTGCCGGTGCCGGTGCCGGTGCCGGTGCCGGTGCCGGTGAGAGTGCCGGTGCCGGTGCCGGTGCCGGTGCCGGTGCCGGTGCCGGTGCCGGTGCCAGTGCCGGTGCCGGTGCCGGTGCTGGTGCCGGTGCTGGTGGACGGTGCCGGTGGCCGGTAGCCGGGGCCGGTGCCGGTGCCGGTGCCGGTGCTGGTGCCGGTGGCCGGTGCTGGTGCGGGTTCTTGTTTTCCCAGAACGTCCTCTCCTTCTCCCTCCCGCCTCCCGCCTCCCAGCAGTGCCACTCCCGCCCCTCCAGGGAAGCCCCGCCTGAGCGAGGATGGTAACGGAAACCCATACTATTTACATGGTTTCGTGCCCTTCCCACCTCTCCAGGGAGGCCCCGCCTGAGCGAGGAGGGTATCCCACCCCTCCAGCAGGGAGACCCCGACTGACTGAGCGAGGAGGGTATCGGAAACCCATACTATTTACATGGTTCCGTGCCCCTCCCTCTCCTCCAGGGAGGCCCCGCCTGAGCGAGGAGGGAATCGGGAACCCGTACTATTTACATGGTTTCGTGCCCTTCCCACCTCTCCATGGAGGCCCTGCCTGAGCGAGGAGGGTATCGGAAATTCATAAAGATTACATGGTTTCGTGCTCCTCCCACCCCTCCAGGCAGGCCCCGCCTGAGCGAGAAGGGTATCGCAAACCCAAACTATTTACATGGTTTCGTGCCCCCTCCATCCGCCTGAGCGAGGAGGGTATCGGAAACCCATACTATTTACATGGTTTCGTGCCCTTCCCACCTCTCCAAGGACGCCCCGCATGAGCGAGGAGGGTATCGGAAACCCATGCTATTTACATGGTTTCGTGCCCCTCCCACCCCTCCAGGGAGGCCCCGCCTGAGCGAGGAGGGTATCGGAAACCCATGCTATTTACATGGTTTCGTGCCCCTGCCACCTCTCCAGGGAGGCCCCGTCTGAGCGAGGAGGGCATCGGAAACCCATACTATTTAAATGGTTTCGTGCCCCTCCCACTGACATGGGTGAGGAGGAGGGGAGAACATTACCTATCCATCTCACGTCCTACTCCTCCCACTGAGGAGGGTGAGGAGGAGGGGGAGTTCTGCGATGAGGAAGGCTTCCTCATGATGATGGTGATGACGATGATTATACTGCTGTTCACGATGACGATGACGATGGCGATAATGGTGATGGACGATGACGATGGCGATAACGGTGATTATGATGATGATGCTGATGATGATGACGATGATGATGACGATGACGGCAACGATGGCAACGATGGCGACGACGACGAGGATGATGATGCAGATGCTGGTGATGATGACGATGTTGCTGCTGATGCTGACGTTGCCGGTGCTGTTGTTGATGATGACGACGATGATGCTGATGATCATGACGTCCACGATGATGCGGACGATGATGATGCCAAGGACGGTCATGGTGATGATGATGACGATGCTGATGATGCTGATGCTGATGATGACGATGATGACGATGGTGGCGACGACGATGATGATGATGATGACGATGACGCTGGCGATGATGATGATGCTGATGATGATGAAGATGATGATGATGGTTATGATGATGCCGATGATGCTGACGATGATGATGATGATGTTGATGATGTTGATACTGATGATGATGACGATGATGCTGATGATGAC